ACCCTGGCACTCACCTGCTGTGTGATCTTGGGCAAGTCACACAGTCTCTCTGGGCCTGCTTCCTGATGAATAGATGAGACAGTGCCTATAGAGAGTGTGATCACTGTCAACTTCTGCAGCTGCTGAGTGCTGGGCTTTCCTCTTGTCATCTCATTTAACCCCTTCAGCCTGGGGAGGGTGCAGTTATCATGTCCCCCTCAGCCTCACAGCCCCTCACATTTGATGCTCACAGAGGGACCAGGAGAGGGGTCCCAAGAGCTATCATTTCATGTATTCATTCATGCATGCATTCTGTGTTCACTGAGCATCCTGTTATTCCAGCCTGTGCTAGGCATGAGGTGACGGTGGGGGTGTCCAGAAGAACATGCCCAGGTCCCTGACTTCATTCCTGATGTCCCCAATTCAGATCCTTCCCCAGTTCTGCCCCTAGGGACTTTGGTATAAAAAGGCATTTCCAGGGCCCTTGCCCTCCAGTCCAGCAACCCTCCCCAAGGGAAACAAAAATACTCCACGTGGTTCATGCCCATGCTATGAGCTGGGGACAGAGCAATAAGGAAGGCGCCACGCAGGCTCTGCATCCACAGAGCTAGGATGGGAGCCCGCAGAGAGTCACTGAGTTAGTGGTGACAAGCACAGCCCAGTGACAAAAAGGCAGGGGCTGGGCACCCATGTTGGAGATTGGGGAAGGATTCCCTGAGGAAGGGACCTCAGGGGCTTCTGGTGGAGAGGTTGCTGGGCTCCTTGGAAGAGCTGGAGGCTGCCCTTCCTGACTTCCTGGCCCCAGCTTCCTCCCGCAATCCCCCAACCTGCTCCCTCTGCCCCCAGCCCTACCAGGGCCTCATCAACATCATCCTCCTGCCCGCCTGGGGCCTCGGAAACTCATCTCCAAGCACTTTTTGGCTTCGAGGTCTCCCAGTCTCAGGCTGCTGGGTAGTTGGTAAACAGCTTATTAAGGTGATTAACACTGCAATTAAAGCTGGAAAAACAGAGGCCAGGGTGCTGGCTGCTTCCCCTTTTCCTCCTCGCTCTGTTCTCCCCTTCCCCTCCAATCCCCTCCAGGCTTAGTTAATGCAATTCAGCCAATGTAGCCACCTAGAGCTCTCATCTAGGGTCACAGAAGTCAGGGGCTGGGAGGCTGAGTGTCCAGGGTCTTTGCTAGCTGTGTAGAATCTTCACTTTGCTCACATTATCCCAGTGGCTGTGTGGTGGCTTTGCTGGACTAGGGAACAAGCAGTAGGTGTGGTGTGGTGCCAAGGGGGCATGGCATATGGAGGCTGAATTGGGTGGGGTCTCTCAGATCCCCTAGTATCTGGGACCCCCTTGAGGGACGGGTCCTCAGGGAAAGAGAGACCATTCTTCTCATCCACTGCCTCAAGTGAGAAGGGCAGAAGCTGTCTCCTCTCAAAAGAGGCACAGGAGCTTCCTTTCCCCAAGCTCAAGGGGCTGGGGCATCTTCCAGCAAAGCTGAGGGTCTGGGAACAGCAACACCCTTACCCTCCTCCTAGCCCAACATCCAGGGAAGGATCTGGGGACCCTCTGGGTCTGCACCTTCCCTCCCTGCAGCACTGGGGCCAGCATGATTCATAGGGAAGCTGTGATCAGGCTCCACAAGCCTCATTCCTCTTGACCCCATGGAGTCCTGGTGGGGGAGTATGTTCCCAAACCCTCATCTTTGCCTATCATGCTTCCATCTTCTTTCAAAGCTTCCTTCAAATGCCTCCTCCTCCATGCAGTCTTCTCAGGCTTCCCTCCCACTCACCGCCAACTGCCCTGCCCTTTCCTCTGGCAGTCCGTCCTGTCCTCCCTGGACTGTGTCAGGTGCACCCAGCTTCTGGCCTCTCCGGGGTGGGTCTGCTTCTGACGCTGGAGCTCCTGGCACAGGGTCTGTGCCTTCCTTTTCCAGGCATCTGTCATCAATCAGACCACCTCCTGGAACAGTGCCTGGGATATAGCAGGGGCTCAACAAATATTGGTTGATTTCTTCCTTTTTTGAGTGCACCTGGAGGTGGGTGGGTCAGCCAATGTAGCAAGTGCAGCCAGTGGGCTCAGTCTGAAGAGGGGTGTGGAGTGCTGGGTGCCGAAGGAGGCAGGTTAGAGGACAGGCCCCATCTCCCTGGTCACCATGAGCAGCAGCCACTTCCAATAACTGAGTAGTGCTCACTATCTGCTGGGGACCTTGTTAAGTATTTTACTCACATTATCTCATTTAATCCTCTCAACAACCCTGCCAGGTGGGTAGTATTAACCCTATATGACAGCAGAGGAAACTGAGGCTTAGAAAGGTTAAGTGACTTGCCCAAGGTCACACAACCAATAAAGTACTGGGGGCAGGATTCAAATCCAGGTCAGCTGACTCCAGCGTGCACATTCCTGACATTAAGGTCTTCCAGGGCCAGCCCTCCCCTCTCCATTTCTCCTCCCAAGGAAGCCAGCTGGCCAGCTGGGGTGGGTGTGGCTGCAGCGGCTCCAGCTTTCAGACGCTCTGCCCTGGGATGCCCAGAGATTCTGAAAAGCCCACTAAGAGCACCCATTCTTCAGACCTGGGTTCAAATTCTAGCATGCCAAGTATTAGTTATGTGACCTTGGCAGAACCTACATTTCTCTTGCTTCCGTTTTTCCCATCTGGTAAATGGGCACCATACCACCTACCTCCCAAGCTATTGTGAAGGTCACATGCAAAGTGTCTGGCACGGAGCAGGAGTTTAGTGAATGCCAGCTGTGTCTAAGTTTTGGAGAACAGTGACCCTCAGGGCAGCCTGGGGCTCCCTAGCCTGCCCTGCTTCTTCCTCGCCTCATGAAGGTTGTCACGAGACCATGGGTGTAGTCGAGAAGCACCCGGTAGAAGATGGGCTCAGCAGCCTTACCCTGGTACCCTGCCAGGGTCCCCACCCCAGCCCCTGTGCCTGTGGGGGCCCCCACAAGGGCTGATGAAGAGGGCAACCTGACTGGCCTAGAGGAGGAAGGGGAGGTCAGGGGTGAGGCTGACCCCAGCAGGAGGTCACCTGGGCAGTTAATCCAGCCTGACAGAGCCGGGATGAGCAGGGAGGAATTAGGGAGCTTACAACATCCTTTCATCCTGGAGCCGCCCGCCTGCTGCCCTGCCTCCCTCCTTCCTTCCTCTCTCTCTGCCCTTTCCTTCTCTCTCCCTCCCTTTGCTGGCAGCCCAGCCCTAATAAAATGCAGTGTCTCCAGCAAGTCTGCCCGGCTGCCGCCTCGCTGCTCCCGCCTGCACGCAGCCCTCAAACCAAACTGTTCAGCTCAGCCCTGCCTGGCAGCTGCCACCTTAACCCTTGCCAGCCCGGCTGGCGTCCATGGGCTGGAGGCCCTCCTCCCTTCCGCCTCCTGCGGGCATGGGGGAGGGAAGACACTGCCTTCTGAGAGGGAGGGGACTGGCTGGGGGCTGGGTTTTCCCAGCTCTGGAGCCCTGCAGGAGAATCCCTCATCTGTGTGGCTGCAAGCCTCCAACAAATTCCTTCTGTGAGCTTGAGACCCACTCCTTCTGCCTCATCCTTAGTCTAAAGAGACGGGGATCGTTATCCCCATTTGACGGATGAGGAAACTGAGGTCCTAGACAAGGAGGTTCCTATCTGAGCTGGGTTACCTTGGCTGTTGGGTAGTGGTGGGTGGTTGTTTCCTTTCTTTTTCTTTTCTCTTTTCTTTTCTTCCTTTTTTCTTTCTGAGACAGGGTCTCAATCTATAGGCCAGGCTGGAGTGCAGTGGTGTGATCACAGCTCACTGCAGCCTTGACCTCCCATGCTTAAGCAATTCTCCCTCCTCCACCTCCTGAGTAGCTGGAACTACAGGTGCATGCCACCATACCTGGCTAATTTTTGTATTTTTTGTAGAGACAGGGTTTCACCTAGCTGCCCAGGCTGGTCTTCAACACCTAGGCTCAAGCCATCTGCCCACCTTGGCCTCTCAAAGTGCTAGGATTATAGGTCATAATCCTTGGTCATACTGCTGATTTTCTGACTTTTTCCATTACAGGGAGCTGCTCTGCTTCTGTGTGTGTGTATGTGTGTGTGTGTGTGTGTGTGTGTGGTGTGTGTGTGTGTGTGGTGTGTGTGTGGTGTGTGTGTGGTGTGTGTGTGTGTGTGTGATGCTGGCATGACTGAGTGATGTGTGTCTGTGCACCTGTGTGTTGGCAGCCCTCATCTCTTGGAGTGCTATGGCTTTGGCTTTGTACTTCATGTGATGCCAACATGTCTCAGGTGTGTGTTGTAGAGGTGTCTCTTCGATGTCATCGTGTGTCTGGATGTGTGCGTGTGACAGAGAGGTGGCTTCACAGGCGTGTGCATGCATTCACACTGTCTCCTGCTTGTGCCAAGATGTGTCATGCACACCTCCCTTCATTCTACCACCTCCAGCTCTCTGTCTCCAAAGCCTTGGAGTTGGGCACCTAGAAGAGGAGGGTGGTGGCAGTGAGAAGGCTCTGAGTCAGGGCCTGCGCCCTCCTTGGGAAGGTAAACACAGACCCGTCCCCCCGGCACCAGGCCTGGGTCTCAGTGCTAGCTCCCTCCCGGTGAGAGAGCAGTGGCATCCCCTGACTGAGGCCCCACCCTCACCCCAAGCTGAAAGGGATAGACAGGAGTGTGAGGGGCCAGGAGTGCCTGGGCGTGGAGGTGGCGGTGGGGGGGAGGGTTACACACATGTGCAAGCAAGTCTGCATGTGAGCTCCAGATCAAAGAGCAGCCCTGGGGTGACCCAGCGGCCGTGCAGAGGGAGCTGTCTGATTCTGAGCACCAAGACACCAAGTGTCGTGGAGCCAGGGAAGCCGCTCCTGGGCACCTTCCCTCAAGACCTGCCCAGATTGGGGATAGCCACGGGGTCAGGAGCACCTGCCACCTGGGGCCAGGCTCAGCCCAGCACCTTAGCAATGGTTTCCCGGGAGTTCCGTCTCCCTCAGAGCTCAGAAGTCCCTCCCCACCGGACACCTTCTCTGACTCCCAGACCCTCCCTGCAAGAGCTGCCTCTGGCCTCCAGTTCAAAGAGCTCAGTGGTTATTTTCTTCTTTTTTATTAACATTATATATAAAGATGGGTCCAGTAAGAAAGCAGAAATGAGAAGGCTGGGAGGGGTGGGAGTTGGCTTTGCTTCTTCCCCCCCACCTCCGGTGGGACTCTTGGAGACCTACCATGTCTCTCTCGGCCCCTGCACCTCCCACAAAACCCAAATCCAGCCGGAGCCCACATCTCTCAGCTTGCAACACACAGGGAGATCCGTCCAGGAGGTACACGCTCACATAAATAGGAAGCCACAGCAGGGAGGAGGCTGCTTCTCTCTGTTGCTCTTAAAAAAAAATACATACTATATATTTAAATATATAGCTACAGTCTTCTACCTCTCCTTTTTTTTCATGTTTTACTGCATCGGGGTGGAGGAAAGTTAGCTTTGGGGGGGATGTCTGGGTCAGGGAGGGGCAGCGCCACCAGCCCTCCAGGCAGTCACCCTTTACTCCTAAAGGCACAAGTTCTAACTCTCCCCTCATCTCCTGCGCACCTCACCCGACATTCTCCAGCTCGGAGCAGTCTGTTTCCAAGGCCGCCGGAAAGCGGGTGTTTAGGGGTTTGTCTTGCCTGGTATGTCTCCTTGGAGATTTGGGGTTTGGCACCAAAACTGCCAACTTACTGGAGGAGTAGAGGAGGTGAGGTGGGGGCAGGGATGGAACGGAGGCACCAGTGCAAGGGGAGACTTGGCCCTATCTGTGAACAATGCCCTTTGTTTTCCTATTTTTCAACAGCTTTTAAAACCAAAGTTGTGCAAAGTCCTGTACACAGAAGAAGAAAGAGGTCCTTGGGAACAAACGTCTGAGACCCACTCCTCCTCTGGGAACGGAGGCGGGAGAGAGATGGCTCCTTTCGTTCTTTCCTCTAAAGCCACCAATCTCAAAAGATTCCCTCACTTTGGGGTTTTCTTTGGTTTCACCCTCAAATCTTAAATGAGGGCTAGAAGTGCAGGGCGGGGAGCAGTTCAGGTCCCCACTGGGAGTCCTAGTCATTGTGTCCACTGTCTTTTTAGCAGAGGTCGCCGCTGGAGCAGGGGTAGACCACCGGCGGCTCAGGAGGAACTAGGCCTGGCGAGTTTTAGGATCCATGGTGCCAGGTGCCCTGGCACAGGTGGGACCCGCAAACCCTCCAGTCTCCCACATCCCAAGGTCTCCAGTCTTGGAACAGGCACTAAGTTTAAGAAGCTGGAAGGTGATGAGCCATTTAAAGCCAAACCAGGCTCCTGGAGCAGGCAGGGGAACGGCTGTCCCCACTGGGGTGGATGCCCCCACATCTGGAGGGGCACCCCAGTGTCTAGGCACGGGGAGGGAGGTTCAGGGGCATCCTTAGTCCATGCAAATGTCATCTGGAAGCACTTGGGTCCCTGGAGGAAAAGGCAAGGGAGGGGGAAAGGGAGTTCCTTTCCCCTGTGCTCCTTGATGATTCCTGAGTGGCTAGGACGGAGGCGCCTTCTGCCTGGTCCTGGGGTCCTTTGTGCAGGCCAGGTGGGTGCTCAGTACACAGCCCCAGGGTTGGGCGGGGGCCCGGGGGAGGCATGGTGCAGGGTGGCTGGCTGAGGCGGCTGCTGCTGTAAGTGGGGTCCACTCAGGTTCTGTGCGTGGTACCAGGAGTTGGTGGGGTCGTCCAGGTAGCTGGGGGAGGCGCTGTACGGGAGCGGCGGGGGCAGCTGAGTGCGGGCAGGGGCTGGAGTGGAGTGGGAGGAGGTGTCCCAGAGGGCAGGTGATGGTGGTGAGTTGCAGGCCATGGAATCACTGTTATTGGGACTGTGCTCCAGTGGCACCTCCCCGTTCTTGTAGAGTTTCTTGAACTTGGAACGGCGGTTCTGGAACCAGATTTTCACCTGGGCAAGAGAAAAAAGGGGTAGCTAGTTAGCCTCTCAAAATGCTAAAAGTAAAAACCCTGGGAGGAACCCAGATAAGAGCAAGCAAAGCCAGACCCAATTTCATGTAAGAATCAGGCAAAAACCAGCCCCCTGACTCCCAGGACACCCGTCGTTTCTTCGACCTGGGGTAGAATTGTGGCTAGGAACATTCAGCTGCCTGGGTCCAAATTCTGCTCTGCCCTTACTAAGGGTGACCTTGGGCAAGTTACTTAACCTTTCTGATTCTTTCCCTCCTCTTGTCTGCAAAATGGGGACGAGGACAGCACTATTAACTGCCTCACAGGGTCATTCTGAGGCTCAAATAAGGTACGACGTATAAAAAACTTAGGGGAGCCTGCTCAATAAAAGGCAGTCGAGCCTGGCGCGGTGGCTCATGCCTGTAATCCCAGCACTTTGGGAGGCTGAGGTGGGTGGATCATGAGGTCAGGAGTTCGAGACCAGTCTGGCCAAGATAGTGAAACTGTCTCTACTAAAAATACAAAAATTAGTTGGGTGCAGTGGTGGGAGCCTGTAATCCCAGCTGCTCTGGAGGCTAAGACAGGAGAATCGCTTGAACCCAGGAGGCATAGGTTGCAGTGAGCCCAGATATACCACTGCACTCCAGCCTCCTCGACAAAGCAAGACTTCATTTTGGGAAAAAAAAAAAAAAAAAAAAAAGGCAGCTGAGGTGGGAGATGGTTGGTTGGTGGCATTTGTTCACATTAGACACCCATAAGAAGAGGTGCACAGATACACAGAGACAAACACACCCACATACGCGTCTCCATACCCAGCCATATTCCCACTCACAGTGTACACACAGACACCATTCTATAAAAATACACACAGACACAGATACACCCAGATAAGCACCCCACAACATGAGCACCCACATTCACACAGGAGTGGGGAACTCCTCCTGGGCTCAGGCTGGGTAATGGGGGTGACCTAGGGACTCAGGAGCAGGTGAGCCATGATTCCCCAAATTTACCCTGGGGTATCTCCCCCTCCCCCTGCCACTCCCCACCCCATGACTGGTACAAACAATGAATCAGCTCCTCACCAGGTGACCCAGATTCCCGGCGGACGGGGCCCCACGCAGCCACAGCCGCAACCTAGGCCCGCCTGTCAACACCTGGAGTGAGCCAGGCGTCCACTGCTCCTCCCCGGGGCCGTGACAGCCTGCTGGGGGCTTCAGGGACTGGCTGGGGGTGGGGGTGGGGCACTCATTTTGTGTCCCCATCTCCTCCAGACAGGGAATTTGGCCTCTCTGCTCTTGGCAGAGGTAGGGGTCGAGTATTGAGGTGCTGAGCTGGAATGTGGTGTTTTGATGCAAGTATGTATTTCTGTACCTGCATTCACCCAGGCACACAGCCACACACACGTGGCCCATCCTGACCCACAATGACCCTGGCAGGATCGAACTCCTCATGTGAGCATTCTCCCCTGCGTGGTGCAGATCCACACAGTACGTGTGCAAACACACTCGCCTACGTGCACACAGACACCCTGCACACATTCCTAGTGTGGAGGGAAAACACGATGTGGACTTCTACTAAGTGACCAGCACTGCTGGGAGACTTGGGAGCTGGGGATTCTGGAGTAGAGGAAGGAGGGCACCTCTCCGCGGGACGGATGCACACAGTTGCACGCGTTCGCAACTGTGTTCACTTGTACACGTGCTAACGCAGAACTTTCCGACCGAACTTGAACCTCGCAGGTCCCCATCCCACAGGCAAGAGTTCCAGGAGCCTGCAGGGTCCTTAACGGCCAGCCAGGCTCGGCGGCGCCTGGGGAACTACGGGGTCTCGCGTGCCCACACGGCCCTGGACGGCCAAACACCAACCTGTGTCTGCGTGAGGCCCAGCTGCGCGGCCAGCTCGGCGCGCTCAGGGAGCGCCAGGTACTGGGCCTTCTGGAAGCGGCGCTGCAGGGCGGCCAGCTGGTAGCTGGAGTAGATCGTGCGCGGCTTTCGGACCTTCTTGGGCTTCCCATTCACCATGCGCACCTCAGCTTCCGGCTCCTCCTTCACCGACACTGCGGGGAACGCACGGGCGGGAGAGGGGCGGCTCAGCCTCGGCCTGCGACTCCTACCACCCTCCAGGGCCCCGCAGGACGCCCCTCCCTTCCGCCCACCGACTCGTCGCGGGCTTCCCGGCCTCGCGCTCCGCCGCCCGCTGCCCAGGAGGAAGCCGCGGCCACAGAGCCGGACCCGGCCGCCGCCCACGACGCGGCGCTCCCAGCTCGGCGCCCGGCCCCCGGAGCACTGTCCCCGGCGTCACCCGCCTCCTGGGCGAGGACCGCCACGGCTTTGCTCACGACGCCTTCCCAGCTCGCTTGCCGGCCTCAGGGCTCCTCGCCGCCCGGCTGCTGGCCGCCCCCTGCCCAGCCCCATCTAGCCGTCGGTTGTTTCTCTGGCTCCTTCCCGTCCACCCCCCGCCCTTTAAAAAACGTTTCAGTTTAGAATCGCTTTAGATTTTCCAAAAAGTTGCAAGGATAGTACAGACTTTCTTTCTTTCTTTCCCTGTCCCCCTTCCTCCCTGCCCGCCTTCTCTCCTGTTTCACTGTCTTTCCACACTTCTCTCTTGCTGCCTTCACTTTTCCCTTTTTCAGCTTCTCTGCCTCTTAGTCGCTGCTTCCTTCCGCTTTCCCGCAACTTCCGTAGGTCCCTCTCATTGCCCCCTCACGACTCCCCGTCTCCCCATCGCTTATCCAAAGGAGGACCCCAGAGCTTCCAGCCCCCCGCCGCCTACCCCCAACCCCTCTGAGACCTGATCGAGGATCTCCTGCTGAAATGCCCAAGAAATCACCTCGATTCGGAGGTTCCCTGACAACCCACAGCCCTCCCCTTCCTCTCTCAGCTCACCCCGATCCTCATCTGAGACCGCGGCGCACCGCGCTCATCGCGCCCCAAATGCTCGCAGACCCGGGGCTGGAAGGTCGCCTGGTCCCTCTGGGGGTCATCTAGGCCAGCTTCTCTAACTCCAGGCCGTACTTTTCTTAGACGTTTCCTAGACTTTGGGTTCCGGTCCATGCCTTTTCCTCCCTCCGGAACCTTCCAGTGTCTCCCACTGTCCTGGTGACCCCGTGGTCCTCACCTGGATCCTGGGCTGGCAGCGGCTGCTCCCTGTACGCCCCGTATTGCCGGTAGGAGGCTCCGTAGGTATATTCCGACTTGGGCGAGTAAGCGCCGGTGCCTGCAAGCCCATTGAGATTGAACTGGTGGTGGTAGGTGTAGGGGTTCACCGTCTGGCCATAGGGCTGGCCCGAGTAGTAATCGTGCTGGGGAGCGCTGTAGTAGCCCAGGTCAGTGACAGAAGACTCGGGCAGGGTGGGCGAGTCCTTGGAGCCCGCATGGCAGCTAAGGGAGCTGGAGATGTCGGTGAGGATACTGCTGAGCTTGCGATCGAAGGAGCCACTCATCCTGGCGGGCGCTGCACCTCCCCAGCGCTGACCTCCGTGGAGGACAGGAGCGGATGGGAGAGCAGGTAAAGCGGAGAAGACGAGGCAGGGGTGTGTGTCCAGAGGGCGAGGGGAGGATCCGGCCGCGTCTAGGGGAGGGGGAGGCCGAGAGGCGCTTACACCATCGCGGGCCGTCAGGCGGTCGCTGCGCGCCTCTCCTCGCGTCCCAAGCCACAGTCAAATGCTGCCAGCTCCGCCCGGCCAGCCGGTTATAGACTCAATTTTGGAGTCGCCGAGGGAGGCTCCTATGCGCTGATTGGCTGCAAGTCTTGCCTTCCAGGCAAAACACGCTCTTGCTCTCTCGCTCCTGTGCTCTTCTCTCTCTCTCTTTCCCTTCTCTCTTCCCTCTCTCTCTCCTCTTTCCCCCAGTCTTTGTTGTTACACACACACACACACACACACACACTCCTTGCTACTCTAGTAGCTCCAGCTCAGATAAGTTCTCTGAAGGAGGGGGTGGAGGTGGAGGGGAAGGGTCGTTCTTCGGAGCCCCCAGGACCTGCCAGTCTGTTTCTCTGGCTGGCGGGTGAGAGATGGGCTTGGGGGGTGGGGGTGGGGAAGGAGGGGAATTTGCCCACTGGGTGTTTGTGGAAGGAGGTGGTCTAAGGTGGGGTATAGTTGTGTGTATGTGTGTGTGTGTGTGTGTGCATGCCTGTGCGAATGACTGGCACACCAACGAGCCCAAAGTGGTGAGGACTCAGGGCCCCTGAAAATGGTTTAATTTATCTTAAAATCAGAAGAAAACAAAAACACCTTTTAGGTGGAAGAGGATGTTTGAATGTATGATATTAATATATTGTCAATATCAATGCTGTCATTGCTATCTTACTGTTGTATTACATAATTACAAAAAGTAATTAAAAACTTTTTCTTTTCATGGAGGAAGGGGCCCACCAGGCAAAAGTGACTTGAGCCTACAAGAGGCATAATTTAGCCCTGGGAGAAGGAGAGGGTATTGGAGAAGGGGAATCAGGCCTGTGTGGATTTAGGGGTTGATGGGTATGTACAGCCTGTCTGGTGATACCAGAGCTATCTCCAAAGCTATGTGTGTGCAGTTTCAGAGAGAGCCCGGTCTTGCTGAAGGGAGCAAGGGACCTGGGGTCCGCATGAGCTTGGGTGGACACAGCCTTGCTCTGTGATAAGTCTGAGGGCAGATTCTGTGTATCATGGGACAGCGCTGGGACTGGGGACACTTTTAGGGATCGGGTGCGTGGGACGCGTGTACTTTGGGTGTGTGCTGTGAGGACTTCATGTGTTCCACATTATCCATGGATGTACACTCGTGCAGGAGTGTGTGTGAAGATGCGTGGCCGTGTGTACGGGTGTAGGCAGCGTGAGTGGAGGGCCATCCGTGTGTGGATGTGTGGTTGTTTGCAGACGTGTCTAGACCTCTCAGTACCTTCGGAATCCCCAGTAGCTGGGAGTTGGGCTGCTCCACCGAAGTCCTCTCCCACCAGAAAAGAAAGCCCTGAGGAATGGCTCCCCTCCGTGGGGACCCCTCGCTTCTAGTCCTGCCTGCCCCCCTAGGTCATGCTAGCTGTTCCCAAAGTCTAGCTCCTTCCTCTTTCCCGCACCCTATTTTGCTCTTCGCCCTTCTCTGGGGGAGAAAATCCAAATCTCAGTTCCCAGCCTGCCCCGCTCGCTCCCCCTCGTCCCCTAGCCCTACCTCGCGGGGCAAACTCAGTGCTAGCGCGCCACCTCGTGGTTCCTGCGGGCTCTGCAGCTCCCGAGCCCGGCTCCCGGCCGAGCCCCGGGGAGGGGTCTCCTCCGAAGACCCTGCCTGGCCGAGCAGTGTGCCTCTTTCCAAAGTCAGACTCGCGCAGCAGGCGGCCGGGGGGGTGGGGTGGGGGTCCAAAGGATTTTGAGAGCTGCAGTTCCCAGAAATAGAGGGCGGGGTCCACGGGCCGAGGGGCAGGGGTGGGTGCCCTCTGGGTCTGGGCCTCTCCCCGAGGCCGCCGCGTGGGAAAGGTGGGGGCGGGGGCGAGCGAGGGGAGCGCTATCTGTCTGTCTATCTCCGCGTCCCCCCAGCGCCCAGCGCCCGCCGCTCCGAGCCCGTGGCGAGGCGAGTTGCCACCCGCTCCTGGTGCCCTCTGTTCTGCTGCCAAGAGGGCGCCAAGAGAGCCTGCGGCGTTGGGGGCAGGAAGGGCACTGGGCGGGCCGGCTCCCTCCCTGGATGGGAGCGGGGGAGGCGTTCAGGGCCTGCTTTGGAGCTCCCCTGCCCCGCCCTGAAGACGGTGCCCTCTGTTTTCGCTAACTGTAGCTCCCCACAGAGAACAGACAGCATGGGGCGAGCCCTTCTCAGAGGTTCATTCATTCGTTCATTCATCAACCGAGTTCAAGAAGTGGCAGGCGACTTAGAGCCACCTCCTTCCCTCCCCAGGCCCTCACAGAAGCCTCACCTTTCCTCACTACCCCAAGCCCTGTCTCCTTAGTAAAGAGAATGAGCCCTAGGCTGAATTCTGGAATCCTGGAATCTTGAAAGGGCAGTGGTGGAGGATTATCCTAGGAGAATTTCTAAGCTCCACTCTGCTCTGAAATTCTAAGAGTTCTGGAAATGGTTCATAGTTCATAGAAACTGCAACAGTAGAAACTTAGATAAGCAATTAAACCACAGCTTGCTAATGTGAGGTTAGCACGTTTCCCCTACCCCCATTATATAACGTGCCCCAAGATGCCAGGGAGTGTCATCCACTTCACCACTACCTTCCAGATACTGAGGACCATGCTCAGTGGATGCTTGTTGAACGAGTAAATGAAGCTTCCTGATGCTGAAGAGGGGCAGGATCATCTTGCTCCAGCTCCCGTTGGACCGCTGGCTGAGGCTCATGCATGCTGAGCAGAGTCAGGACAGCCGGAAGCATGGGGCAGTCGTTGGGTTGCAGGGTGGGGGCAGGCCCCAAGGGTCTCCTGAGGCCGGCAGGACTGCAGCCACCAACTGCTGGGCAGACACCTGTAAGCTTAGGATAGTGAGGTAGCCGGAGGATGCAGTGGGACTAGTGCCACCCACCCCACGTCGCCAGGGATAACAAAACAAGCAGGTGTCAGCCTGGCCAGGTCCTGCCCCTGGTGGAGGGGTGACATGGGGCAGCCTGGATCAGGGGCCTCTGGGAGTCTGGTAGGAGGGAGAAAGGGCAGTGCCGGCCAATGCCAAGGTCACAGCCCATTGCCCACCCTGTCTCTGGCACTGAGAAAAGGTACCCGGTTGAAGCAAGCTATTTCTTGGAACCCAGGCATCATGTCATAGCAGAGGACACTGGCATAGCAGAGAAGCTCACAGAGAGGCCTCGGGAGGAACTCGGGAAGGAGGACCGAGCTAGTGGGCTGACCCTGCTTTCACCCTTGCCTTGGGGAGTGGCGCCATCTAGTGGTGATTATAAGAAAGAGCGTGCCTAGCTCCACTGGGGAGACCCGGAAGCGGGTCACCGGCAGCGGCAGGGCTCTCGTGCTCAGAAGGAATTTACTTATTTGAGGAGCCCTATTGGCATTAAATATTCACTTTTCATCATCACCTTGTGTTGCTCCTTGGCTGCCACCTCCCCCTCCTCCCACCCATCTTTGAACAGCCAGTGGCTCTTACCCTTCGGCTTCTCATTTGTAAATCAAAAACCGGATACTTAGGTGGCCTCTGAGGTCCAAGCTCTGATGTTCTGTGATCGTAAATTCTAGGACTCTTGTCTCTCAAGGGTGAACTCGACTTTCCACCAACTCCCTTGGTGATACGTCTCAGGCTTCTGGCACTTTGCAGCCTGAACTTCCTTCCAGAGTCCTTCATTCAACAGATCTTTGCTGAACCTCTGCTATGTATCTGATCCCCTGATAGGTGCTGGGGATGTACTGATGCACAAGACAGACACCAGGCGCCTCTCCGTGGAGCCCACATGCCAGCATTGGGTGTGGACACTTAGTGACAGCTTCGCCATCATGTGATGTGTGCTGTGATGGGCCAGCATCTGCCCTTGTGTCGGCCTAAGGGAGCCAGAACCCTTCAGGGGGCAGGAGGATAGCTGAAGTGATACGTGAAGGATGTGTGGGACTTGGCTTGGATAAACAGAGATGAGGGAAAGGAGAGGATTCCCAGCCCCTGGAAAAGTTCCTGCGCAGGATCATGGGACTGCCACCTCCCCCTTCCCCCATCCACCTTTGTCCAGCCAATGGTGCTTTCCCTTGGGTTTCTTACATGTAAATCAAAAAGTGGATTCTTAGGTGGCCTCTGATGCTCGTGATTGTAAATTCTAAGACTCTTGTCTCTCAAGGGTGAAGCATAGCATTTGTGGGGGTGGCTGGGGGGTACCTAAAGGTGAAGCAGGGATCCAGGACTCAGAGCACTTGGAAGCCTAAAGCAGGAGAATTGGGCTTTATTTAGAGGCTGCCGGGAACCGCTGAAAACTTTTAACCAGGGAAGAGATTGGGTTTTCATTCTAGAAGGATCCCTCTGGCTGCTGTGTAGAGACGAATCAGAAGTGATAAGACTGGGGGCGAGGGGCCCAGGTCTGAGGCTACTGCAGAAACTCAAGCAAAGGGATCGAGTCTGGGTCAAGGAAGAGGCAGTGCCAGAGAGAAGAGACGTGGGTGGAAGTGGAGAGCCCTGCATGGATTTGAGAGCCAGTGAGGAGGTAAGAGGGGCAGGGCTGGGGAGTAGGCTGGACATGAATGGCAAGGAGAAGGGAATGGCAGGGTGGAGGGGAATGACCTCTGAGCTTCTGGTTTGGGCAACTGGGTGGAAAGCTGGGGCCGTTCTATGAAAGAAAGAGAACACCAGAAAGAGGGATACTTGATAGGAAAAATAATATGTCAGTTTGTTTGTTTTCCCCACTGAAGTCTAACATACCTGCAGAAAAGTGCACAAGTCCTAATTAAAGACTTGGCATGAATCACCATAGCTGCAGCCAGCACCCAGGCTGAGCAGCAGGTCAGGAAACAACAGCCAACCCTCAGAAGCCCCCTCGCCCTCCCGTTCAGTTCCTACACCCTGAGAGTAAACACTGTCTCCACTCCTAGCACCATAGATCCAGCTTGCGTATTTTTGACTTTTATATGAATGGAAGCATATAGTATATCCAGTTGGCCCTCTTCCATAGCCACAGGCTCTGCATCCATGAATTCATCTAAACTTGGATCGAAATTATTCAGCAAAATAATTGCATCTGTGCTTGGACACATACAGACTATTTTTTTATTGTCATTATTCCCTAAATAATATAACAATTACTGATATAACAATTATATTTTATTCAGTATTATTAATAATCTAGGGATAATTTAAAGTATCTGGGAAGATGTGCATAGGTTATCTGCAAACACTGCTCCATTTTATATCGGGGACTTGACGTTCACAGATTTCGGTATCTGAGGAAGGTCTTGGAACCAGTCTCCCATGAACAAGGGGGGGCTGTGCCCTTTTCTGTTTGGCTTCTTTTGCTCAGCATTATGTTGTGAGATTTATCCATATTGTTGGCTTTTTTTTAATAGATTTTTCATTTTCTTTCTTTTCTTTGGAGTGTTTTCATTGCTGTAATGTGGATA